AACCGCGATTAAAAAATTAATTTTTAATCATTTACTCTTAATTTGATCACATAGGGTTTGGTGATTAATTAAAATATGCTGGAATTTCCCTGTGCACACAAAGTNCATAACCGCGATTAAAAAATTAATTTTTAATCATTTACTCTTAATTTGATCACATAGGGTTTGGTGATTAATTAAAATATGCTGGAATTTCCCTGTGCACACAAAGTAAGTTAACCCGGTATGGCTAAGTAGGGTTTCCTCATCAATCTAAGCAATATGGTGTGCATTTTCATTAAGATATATATCAACAAACGTTTACAAACTAGGTTTGTAAAAGTTCCCAGTTTATGTATTACTAATAACAATAATTATAATTTTTTTATATTATGTGCTTTGTATAGCGTTAAACACAAAATAATTACTATAACTGGTGTTTGGTTTCAAGCTCGGACAAACTAGACAAATTAATCAGATTTTATTTTTAATTGGATTAACGGTAAATGTTTTAAATTAATTAAACGTAATCGCAGGCTGCGATTAACGATTCAAAAAATGTTATCATTAATCGTACAGTTGATTACGACTAATCTTACTCTTACTAATATTATAAATGTGAAAGTTTGTACGTTTGGATGTTTGGGAAATCATCACGCGGAAACGACAGAACGGATTTGCATGCAATTTGGTGCGCAGATAGCTTATAGGCCAGATTCGTTAATAAGCTATATTTTTAAGAGTTGCCACCTGTTAAAAAAGTTTAATTTATTTAATATGCGGGAACGACTGAATAGATTTGGATGAAAATTTGCACACAGATAGCTTATGACCTAGATTGGAAAATAGGCTACTTTTCTTAAGAGTTGCCATCTGTTAAAAAAGTTCCTTTAAATTAATACACGGAAACGACTGAATGGATTTGCATGAAATTTTGCAAACAGATAGCCTATGATCTACAGTGGAAAATAGGCTAATTTTTTGGAAGAGTTGCCACCTGTTAAAAAGTTTAATCACATTAATACGCGGAAAAGACTAAACAGATTTGCATGAAATTTTGCACACAGATAGCTTATCACCTAGATTAGAAAGCAGGCTACTTTTTTAAGAGTTGCCAGCTGTTAGAAATGTTTAATTTAATTAATACGTGGAAATGAGTGAATTGATTTGCATGGAAGTTCTCACACAGATAGCTTATGAGGTAGGTTGAAAAACTGGCTAATTTTTTTAAGAGTTACCACCTGCTAAAAAAGTTT